GGAAGTCAGCTTCGAAGCTCGATCCAACGAAAATTCCACGAATCGCGCATGTTGGCCTCCTCCTCCCGTCGAGGAGTTATTTCTGCCCGCGTAACGTTGCGCGCGCGAAACTGCAACGCGATCGCGCGCCGAAACTGCAACGCGACGCGCGCGTAGTCCCGCGGATATGCACCCTGACATTTTCGAGACGCGGCCTTTGCGCTACCGGCAAATTTACGGGGACCGCCCTTTTGATTTGTGGACCGCGACAGTCGACTGTCCGACGAGTCCGACCGTAACGCGCGCCCCTCTCCCGGCGCCCCGTTCTCTCGCATTTAAAGTCACGTAAAGGACGTAAGGACACAGCGCGCTGTACAAGTGACGTGTCCGTCGCACACCCGGTGCCCCGGTGTCTTTTTTCGGCTGCCTCTGTCACGGCCTGACGTCATCGCCACGGTGAGACACGTGCCTCTAATACAAACTGGATTTGCGGTTTTCGCGTACGTCCGTTATTCCCTGTAGCGCTTCTGCTCGAACTGCCCGATGGAAATGAGGATGAGGTCGGCCGCAATAAACGTGGTGCTCGCGCTCGCTGTATGTCGCAATGCGATGAGAGAGTCCCTTCGCCGCGCTTCCACCTTGATTTACAACGGGAAAGTCTCGGCGGACGGTGACGCTACGCTGTGCGGATTGTTCCGGAAAGTCGCAGATCGCTTCTCTTATCCCCCCCACCCCCCTTCCCCCTGAGGCTTCCTTGAATTTTTAGATCTTCGTTATCGTTGCTCTTCGAGTTGTCTGCGTTTTGGAGAGAGGTCGAATAATTTCTTCTTATTTCTTGGATTAGCGCGCATGATCTTCGCTCTTTAGCGGAATTTCGATCAGAAGCTTCTTCGCGGAAGAAGCAGTTCAAGTTCGTCTGAAATGGACAAGCCAAACGCGTTTTGGCTGAAGGAAATAGAATTTTTGATGATATATGAAAAGTGGTCTTATATATACACATATAAATCGATGATAGATATTCTTATATATAATCAAGAATATTATAATATTTTTAGAAGATTTTTAGTCTTTAATTGAGCGCAAGTAATATATCAATATAAATTCAATTAAATCAAGACTAAAAATCTTCTAAGAAGATTATAATATTCTTCTTTATATACGTTATTGATTTAATTACTTAATTATTTTTCCGTACAAGAACCGAATCTGGTTAATAACTAAATTCATAACCAGAAATTCTGCTTCCTCCAACCAAAATGCGTTTGGTTAGTCCATTTCAGGTAAATTTAATCAAACTATTTTTTTCGTGTTCGCTCGGATTTTCAATGTTAAGTATCGGAAAATTCGAAGAGAGAAAAGGACAATTGCGAATCCGAGCGAATTTTTACGAAAGAACAATCGATTCCATATTAATTGGGGAACATCTGGTGAGAGAAAACGAGGGTTATCTCGAAAATCCTGCGAACATGAAAAGAGATCGCAACGCGCCATTTCAAAATAGCGTCAATAATGGACGTGATCCCGCAAGGGCGTATTTAAACGTATCCCTTAATAAACTCCTCCCCGGTCAGCGAGAAACACAGCGGGCGGATTAGAGGGAAGGCTAGGTGAAAAATGCCGGGTCTTAACGAGGTCGTCGGAGTCAAACCACACCTTAATGTATTTCGTGTACCTGATCAATTTGGATCATTGCTCCGTTCCATTGTGCTCGACGTGGCCTTTCAATTAAGGCCGACAATGCTCTAACAGCCTATCGCGACCTCGGTCTAACGGACATTTCGACACCACCTACCTACATCTGCGGTGCAAAGAGAATTCTGACAAATTTTTAAGAAACGATAGGAAGTCGATATTTCGCGCGCACGGTCGCTGAAGATCTCGAAATAAAAAAAAATGTCCAACTCTCTTAAAACATCGATCGTGGTATCGAGTGATCTTCATTTACAACAATTAATATTTTCGCATGTTTATCTGCGAATCCGGTCGCGCTGTCTCTCTTTCTCTTTCTCCTCTCAATATTCGAAAATGTCCCCTGAAAAGATCAGTTTCAGAACATCCGAAAGGTCGCGCATATACATGAGATGGAAATACGAGCGGACAAATAAAGTCTCTTCCGTGAGACGAGGCGCGAAAATCAGAATAGACATTTCGCTGGAGAGACATGTCCAACCGGCGACTGCAACATAGGAGCTACGAGCGTGGCAACGTTCCGTGACATTAGTTCGACTGAAAGAGTGCGCGTGGGTGCCCTCGGACCTACGTATTAGATTGAGCAATGGGACACCGTGGCGCCTCTCCGTATGTACAGACTAGGTCGTTGCTATGGGAGTCCGGGATCAAGTCGTAGACGGGGGTTGCAGCCCCAATTGGGGCGCGGATGCCGACATGTAGTGGTCCGCCATTAATCTAGATTCATGGAGTTCTTCCCGTGTAATCGCGCTTCACCTCGCCGCGTAGGAATGTTGCGAGCGTGGTATTATTATCAACTGCATAATCACGTTGTTTTATCGCCCCGTTAGACAATTTATTTGAATCAGAACCCGCGTTTCTCCAGCGTATATCTTTTTTCACCTTTTTCAACTTTATGATGTTTTGTGATAAAGAAAGCTCCTCAGTAATGAGAATCCGAAGAAAATCCGGAGAAGAAAAGGTCTGCAATCAGGAGTGTAACCCAACCGCGATTCTAGCGTTGAACGGCACGATGCGCTCGACGGGAATTCGAAGAGAGCCACTTAATAAACTCAATAGACTCGCGCAGAGCGACCTCGACGTGTCCGTAATGGGAATTTAAAATAATCAATTAGCGGCTTCGCGCAACGATGAGAATCTAAATACACCGTTCGTCCGCCAAGCTTCATCCGCATTACGCCGTATCGGTCGCGGCTAACTTGCAGAAACTGCGAGGAGCGCACGACAATCAATCATCAGCAGGCTCGCCGCCGACTAATAACAATTTTCTAACTTTTGTATCGTCGAGAATCCGCGATCTCCGTCACGACAAATGATGATCGAGTGATCTTAATTCGCGAAAGTGCCGGATACCATTCTCTACTTTTTCCCTCTCTCTCTCTCTCTCTCTTTCCCCCCTTCTTCTTACCGTCCATTCTCGGCTGTGACCGAGTCGGCTTAACTCGTGCGCGCGACCCATTTTTTTCTCTCACTCTCCGGGCCTGAGCAGGGCGTGGTGGCTTTGCCATAGCACCACGGCTAAAATCGAACCGCGTGTATAACGCCTTAGTGTGAAGACGTGCCTCTGCAAAACGGGGTAAACTGGCGTCGAGCACGCAGAGAGGAGCCACTCTCTCTCTCTCTCTCTTCCTCTTCGCCGCGTTCTAATCGCGATCTCGCTCTCGTCTCGCGACGCCAATGACGACGAGGGCAAGAGGAAGCTCTCCACCATTGTTGAAAAGGGTGGTACGGGGTCGCGTATTATTAGAAAGCCGGTATGCGTGTAAGCCTCGTTTATGCGAGGCGCTCGTCCCGAAATCGGGCGCGGTCGTGCACTAGAAATCTAATTTCGACCGGCCGGCCCACCCCTCTCGCGCGGCCGATCGGTTTGTGCTTTCAACGAGAGTTAGATGGACAGGGAGGGCGGAGGGGGAGAATCCCAAATCGTTGCCTCCGACGGGGGAAACGAGCTACAGCTGGCCGGGCGCGCGGTCCATCGGCGAATTAACGGGAACGGTTTGATCGGTCGCGTGCTCAAACCATCGGAAACAATTGATCGCACGTACGTGTGTACATGCGACGACCCAATTGAATGCGTTCCCGCCGGCGGCGCCTCGCGGACCGCCGTCTGTCGTCGCGGCCGTTGTGGAGAGAATCGAAGACGCTCGTCGCGGAGAATCAAGGACGCTTGATCTCGTCGTTCATTTCAGCTAATTACCGTCGCGACGCTACGGTAACTTCATGCCGCAGGATCTCGGTTGAACGGTCGTACATAGAAAAGTCTTAAATCGATGATATTCTTATATGTAAACAAGAATATTATGATGTTCTTAGAAGATTTTTAGTCTTGATTCGAGTGCAAGTAATACTCGCGTCAATACTAATTCAATCAAATCGAGATTAAAAATTTCTCAAGGAAATTATGATATTCTTGTTTATATATAACAATATATATATCATTGATTTGAAACTAATTTTTTTCCATGTACGGTCGATGTCGAGCTTCTCATCATTCAGATTAATAACGAGCTGTGCATTGAGAGAAAAAATATGTAGGACAAATATTAACACTGAGAAATCCGTTTGGTTGCATCAGTCGAGAAACGGGCAATCAAACGCAATTTTCTTTTATCCAAATTGCGTTTGATTGCCCGTTTTTCGATTGATGCAACTAAACTAGTTTCTCAGTGTAAAAAATAGAAACAAATATTTATTCGCGTGGCTACTATAATAACATATTCACTTATACTCATGCAAATACGGAAAAAAAGTCTGGTTGTAATCAGAAAATGAACAGATGGGTTTTGGTTGAAACAGTATTTCTGGTTTTTATGGCCCAAATGTGATTCTTATGATCAGAAATTCTGTTTCCTTCAACCGAAACACGTCTGATTGTTCACTTTCTGGTTGATGCAACTAGACTTTTTTCCGTGAATTTTCACACTGAGGAAATATTTTTCTCAGATGAGATGTATATTTTTTGAAATCTACAGCTTCTCATGAAAGCAATTGTTTATTCTGTGTTTTAGTAAAAAACTTAGATTTAAGTAAATATATTATTAATACTCATCGAATAAATATTTCTTACTTTTTAGATATGTTTTCTCTCAGTGTGCGATTCTGCGAAAATTGTCTAGTTTAATGAAAACTTATATATTCATATTCGCGTTTGTATTCAATGTCGAAGCTTATTAGCGGATTACGCGGATTATTGGTCGCTACAGTAATTATTGTTTTATCGTCGAATCGATGAGTTGTATGTCATTTCGTTGTCAAATTTTATTTATCACTTTGTTCCCGACTTTCTCTCTCTGCTAAAAATTGCTTGAACGATGCGTGTTGTATTGTTTCAGGTCTATGTAAACCAACCAAGAGTACCGAGGGCGAGGATTATGAGGACGATCCGCCCTTTGACGAGGAAGACGAGGACGATGAGGATGTTGATGATGCCGATTTTCTCGGTCCGCAACCGCAAATCTTATCGCTGCCCACAAGTGTTCGCGTAACGGAAGGGAGTACTGCTATGTTAAACTGCAACGTGATTCACGCAGGTTTGTAGAACAATAACAGTCCCTTCCTTCCGACAACCACGCAAGTCCTTTTTTATTTATCGTTCGAAGCTCGATGTAATTCATAAAAGGAAGAAACATAGTCTCCGTCTGGCAGAATTGCTTTGCAAGCGAGTGACGGCCACTTCAAGACGTAAACTATAACGAGAGAGACTTAATCTATAACGAGAATATTTTTAGTGCGAAGGAAAGTTGAGTAAAATTATAGAAAATTCAATCCGTCTTGTCTACAGTAACGTCTTCTAATGACAAATTCGTACATATTTTAATTGAGGTTGAGATTTTGAAAAACGACATTAAGTCTTTGATTGCCTCGCCAATTACTGATATTTTTATATATAAGATAAATATAGATATTTTCATATACAAGCAAAAGGTATTATAATATCTTACAATATTTTTAGTTTTTGATTGACTGCAAGTAATACTTGCACCAGTACAAATTCAATCAAATTAAAACTAAAAATCTTCTATGAAGATTATAATATTCTTGCTTATTTATGAGAATATCTATTTTTGATTCAAGACTAATTTTTTTTCTCCGTGTGTAAACGAGTATGATACAAATAAATTTCCCGAATGCATTTTGCGAATGTTTGTTAGATAGTTTCATTAGCTTTCTATCGGCGGACTCGCTTAATTTAATTAGATGCAATTAGTCACGCTTTATATGTTAATTAATGAGGCGCGGTAAAATCATAGTTACCGATGGACCCTCACGACGGTCAACGTGTTAATCAAGACGACCCCGAAGACGCACGTTGGGACATAATATATTGTTCGATCTGTTTCAGAGAAACACGCAGTCGCGTGGATGAAGGACAAAGAGTATCTGTACGTCGATTCGGATTCGTACACGTCGGACTCCAAGAGGATCATTCGACTGCCGAACAACACACTGGTGATCTACAACGCGACGATCAGCGATTCCTCCGACAATTACGAGTGTATCATCGTGCGAAAACAGAACATCGTGCTCACCCACCGTCTGCGGGTCGACCCTAAAGGGCCACAGTCTGTTGCGGTCCCACCGCAGCCTATAGCCCCGCAGCAGCCTGTGACTTCGCAGCAGCCTGCAACCCCTCAGCAACCCGTAGCCCCGCAACAATCCACGGTGCCATCAGAGCCAGTCGGCCCGCCGCAACATTCGCACCGGACACTTATACGCGTGATGCCCAAAAAGAGGATAGATGTGAATCAGGGACTAAGCGTCACGTTCGGCTGCGAGACGAACATGCAGCCCCCGCCTGAAATTAAGTGGTTCGTCGAGGTAAAACTTATCATTAACGCAGCTATTGAAAAAGTACTGATACACGGAAAAAGATTTGTATCAATCTTCAAAAGACTCATTTTATGTATAAACGATTTATACATTTTATATATGAACAAGAATATATAATTTGATATGGAGATAAAAATTGCTTACAGGAGAAAATGTTATAGTTCCATTAAGAATATCATATTCTTGTTATTCAAAAATAAATTTCATGAATTTTGAGAAGAACAATATTGTATAGAAAGAACGATATCTTGAAACTAATATAATTCTTAGCTTGAAGATATCGTTCTCTCCATCCTAGTTTTTCCTCTCAGTTTATAAAAGTGATTTTTGAGTAATAAGAATATTTTTAATGAAATTTACGAGGTATCCCAGGTCAATGTAAACTATGTGAGAGCGAATTGAGGTGAAAAAAAGTTTTCTACCATTTTGCAAACAACAAATTTTCGACTTATTAATCATTAAAAATGGCCACATATAGAGGCTTCTTTAATTAATAACTAAAAAAATTATGTATGTTATTTGCAAAATGGTAAAGGACTTTGTTGTTTAGAGTAACCTGATTTTCTTGTCGTCGTTCTTATTTAATTATTGTTAAAAATGATATTATTTATGTGTGTAATTAGGTCTGTTCTTTTTCGCTGAAATGGCTGCATTAGTTTATACTAGTTCTCTTCTTCTTTTTCTTCTACCAAATTTTGTACTCTATATCTGTCTTCTTAGGTTCTATAAGTGTACACAAGTGTACACAAGTCCAGCGAAAAAAATAGATTACTTCATCGTTATAATCAAAATATCTATATAAAATATATAGTAATTTCATATATTGAAAATATCGTCGATGAAAAACAGGGTAAAAAAGAAAGAAAAAGGAGGGAGAGAGAGAGAGAGAGAGAGAGAGAGAGAGAGAGAGAGAGAGAACTGATCGACTTTCTATTTCTTTTCGCAGAACAAAAAGCTGAATAACGATCCCGATGTGGTGGTGAACAACAATTACATCACGATAAGGAAAGTGAACAAAACACACAGCGGTCTGTATCAGTGTCTCGCTGAAGACGGCTCCTCGGATCCGGCGATAGAAGCGATCACTCTCGTTGTGAATTGTAAGTTAGTCACCGATGCTCATTCGAGCAGACCATGGCTGCCTCCCAAGTCAGCCGTCCAGCCGGCTTTTACGGCTATCTATTTTCCATAAGTGTATTGACACCGCCGATTGACGATGAGTTCTCATCCTTGCGACAGACGCACCTGAGATAGAGGCGAAGAGGAGCGTGGTGCACACCGGCACCGGTATCGAGTCGGATATGACGTGCATCGTGAGCGCTTATCCGAAGGCCATAATCAAGTGGTACAAAGATAACAAGGAGATCACGCAGAAGAAGGGATTGATAATCCTGCATCACGGTGACATGAAAGATAACAGGACCAAGCACATACTGAAGATCCTGCATACCACAGAGCAGGACTTAGGCGAGTACAAGTGTAGCGCGCAAAATTCCATCGGCCTGAACTACAAGAGTATCAAGCTTACAGGTAATTATCGCTCGCTAAATTTTGCGAATCGTCGGTGTTGCACATCTACTCGCGTAAAATTAATATAATTATAATTACAATTAATTCATAATTATAATGATAATTAATCGAATTAACCCTTTGACCGCACACTGTATTGACTCTGTGCGATTTTCTAAACTTTATATCCTGAAAACTGAGAAAGGAAAGTGACTGACAAAATTCTAGGAGAAAGTGGAACTTTTCTACTTTCATGTTTAATCATGCATTCATAGAAAAACAAGTTTTAAGTTACTGAAAATAATTCGAATTTATACAATGGCTTCACGAATGGTAGTTCGAATTTTACTTAAGAAATCGTAATTTCTTTATTTTTTATTATTTTGATTTGCAACTGTAGGACAATGAAGTTGAAAGACGGTTTCTAACAGGCAAAAAATATAACTCTACTGCGCGTTCGAAAAACATTTTTTTTTTTTATTACTGAAAGGAGAGTATTTCGAAGTATCGAAAATAGGTGTTTTTATAGGAAAATAATATTTATGTTGTGGAAGTATCAGAAACAATTTATTTTTTATTTGCAAAATGGTAATACGCGTTGTTTAGAAAAATAATAAATTATTTAGAATCACACTTTGCAGGACGTGCTCGCGTAAGTTACACATTTGACCCTAATACAACATTATTATTTATTATTAAAAAAAATATATGCGTAATCACAATGCTTAGTTACGTTCACATACAAATTTTCAATAAAAAAATCAATTTACTTTTTGCGTCAAATTATATATGTACCCTATACATTATGGGTCTAACTGACCCTGTGTCAAATTCGAATGGCTCTCAAACTCGCATTAATCGACTTATCAGGTCTGCACTACGTCTAACGGAGAATTCACACCTTGACAGAAAAAGAAAAAAGTAGCAGCTAATCAGAACTCGTGCTGGTAGTAAACAGTAGATAAAGTAAAAACTGTCGACTATCAGCGCAAATTCTGCTGTTTTTCTGCTTTCTGCTTTTCTATCAAGGTGTGAATTTTCCCTCCTGGGGAGCGACTTTTTAATGATTTCTCGGAAGTGGGGAGAACTCATAGATCACGTACTTCTCTTCGCTATGGTTCTTCAAACTAACTCATCGAGCCTATCTGATCAATAAAACAGTCGAAAAGCTAATTAAATTCCTACAATTATAATGAATTAAATGCCCCTTAGGTACGCCTTCGCAAGCGAAACCGATAGGCGCCGAGATGACCAATGACGACACGGGAATAATTCTCAAGTGGCGTCTGGAGAGTTATTCACCAATCAACGAGTACAAGGTAAATATCGCACGCATTATTGAATTGTACGTAGAATCCGTGAAACGACACATGCACATGTATAGATACGATAGATACGACGGATAGATACGAGATGTAGGATTTTCTCTTCCAATTTGCAGCTGCAGTATCGTCGCAGAGGCGACGAAAACTGGAGCGTCGCTGAGCCCGAGGTCAAGAATGGAAAAGGAAATCAGTTTATCGTGGAGCAACCGATCAAAGAGCTTGAACCCGGATCCTACGAGGCGATCCTTTTAGCTAGGAATTCCTTCGGATGGTCTCCACCGTCCGAGCCGCACCTGTTCGCCGGTGGTACGTCAACCAGTTCCTGTTAATTCCTCTCTCACTTATCTGTCAAGAATAAAATCAACGTGTTTTCTCCTCGAATTAAAACGAGTGTATTGTTCAGCAGCCGAGTGTAACTCTTTCCTTCTCTTTTCAGACTACCCGCCCGAAATGGCACGGAAAGGTACGCACTCGTGAATATTAATTTTATCATCAGACCGTTTCTCATATAAAGAAACATCAAAGAAACGCTCTTTCATCACCGGTTCTGAATGTTTCTGTGCGTTTATTTGCAGAAGGAAACTCAGCTATCCAAATTCGACCGCCCGGAATTCTTTTAGCTTTCATCCTAGTCGTTTTATCTTGTGCCTTCACAAGTCTGTAACTTACTTAAACTGTGTAAACTACGTAGGTAAGTGGTACCATATCGCTTCCCAATGATTATTCTCATCGATTCGCTTACAAGGACTTTTTTATTCGCGACAAACAGATGTATCTGTACGGCATTTGTTGACCGATTTCTTTTGTGCTGCAGGTAATTTGCTGCAGCCAAAGCATACACCAGCAAACGTCATGGTGGGTTTAATAAAGTAAGAACACTTAGGAGAGAGACGCACGCACGTCAGTCGAGTGCGAGCTTCGTCACCCGGATATGCGTCCTGCAGTTTTTCTGCGTAAGCGCTACGCGTGTAATTTACTTTGTCTTAAATTCTTCTCGAGCGGGCATTATCATGCAAAATGTTTAAGTGAACTATATATATTGTTACGTGCGTTTTTGTATAGCCAGAATTTTGTAGCATTAGCCTTTTTTTACATTGTGTGTGGCGTACACACATACACACACACACACACACACACACACGCATACGTATACATACACAGAGCTCGCCTAGGTGTTCCATGAAGACGCGTTGTAAAGGAAACGAGCATTTCAATGGTACTCCGTAAAATAACGGATAATTATTAAGGGGTATTGTACTTTAAAATAGACGTATATATTTATATCTATCTATCTATCTATTTCTCTCTCTTTCTCTCTCTCTCTCTCTATCTTTCTATCTTTCTCTCTATGTATCTATCTATCTGCACACGCGCACACACGGGTGCGTACACAATACATACGCGACGCCGTGTGTACGCGTACAACGTATACACGTAACATAGTATTCACTGTACATGCATAAGAGCTCAGAGATACACAATCATTATTATAATTTATTTTTGTATGCTTAAGATTATATTAGAGACACGTGTTCAAAGATGTCGCGCTTTTTGGTGCCATGTACACACGGCCATGTACACGCCTCCTCGGTGAATCCTGTACAGAGCTGTAAATACGGCATCTTTATGGGGAAGAAAAGGAAGAAAACAAAAATATGTCCGCAGTGAGAAATATGCACGCGTGAGAAAGAGCATGTACCTATATAATTACGATATATGATAGCGGAGAAGTAACGTTATATATAGAGAGTATATACATTATTATATGATGTGTAACGTGCGACGTGTATACGCGGAATACTATACGGAGTTGGAAGCAATCATACCGACGATCGTCGTGCAAGAAGAATTATCCTTAACGTTATGTCTCCCCATGCCCCGTATGTTTGCTCCCAACGTGAAGGCGAGTTTCTTTTTTTTTTGTTTTAATTTACGCCTATGAATGCGAGTAAGTGTGCGTGTGAGACGAACAAGTGGCGAGCATGCGAGGATATCGTTCTATTAGCGTTTTTTCCATAAAAGTTTTCGCTAGCTTTCGTCGCGCTATGAGAGATATGTTGTTATATTGATTTATATAATTAATGTTACGTACACGCACACACACGCGCGCACACGCACGCACGCACGCACGCATGCGCACACACACACACACACACACACACACACGGAGTATTTTACGATCGTAACAGAAAACTGCCCGTGTTAGAAATGGTGTACTCGACGTAGATGTAAACTGTCAGACTTTACGAAGGCTATTTCTCTTGTATTTGTACGCATAGCAATACGCTTATATACATAATTTTTGTCGTCTATAAAATCATAGTTTATTTCGCGTCTGAAACATTCATTATTTTGAGCAATTGGAATTATATATTAGTGAACTCATTATCACAAAATCGTATTGTTACTCGTCTGTCGTATCATTGCAATAACGCATTGCCGATGTTGATTGGGAATTTTAATAAAGAAAAACTGCAGATATTTAGCAACGTTGAGGCATAATTCTCTACTGTGCTTATTTCATTACGTCGAGTATATCATGACACTTTAAATTCGTAGACCTTTTATTCACAATTCTATGATTTCGCTGAACGCGAGATTTATGAGCGGAATTATAAAAAAAATTACTTAGTTCTGGAAAAGATGCGAATAATTACATGTTGAAAAATGGAAAAAAATATATATATATATTCCTATTATTGCCAACCGATTAATTAATTTCGGCTTCTTGAAATGTGTATTTAACAAAAAAGAACGAAAGTAATTATATTTGAAGCTGTATAATAGTATGCACATATTGTACTTTATGTTTATACATCTTTTCCATGATCTATTGCTTGTATATCAAACATGGACGTTTCAATTTGAGTGCGTAACTAAATTTATGTACATACATACATACATAAAAGTTTATTTTAGTACATGTCGATAATATATTTAAGAAAAGATATTAGTCAAGATGCTTACGAGACATTATGTTGATATGCAACACTCCTGATGTGCATATAAATATAGCTTCTACCGTTGCCTTAATCAATTTAACATGTACAATCAAGAATAATGAAAGGTACATTAATTCATAAGATTATACTTGCTGATGGGTAATAAAGTACATCGAGATACATTGTATTGCAAATTAGTGTAGCTACATTTCAAGCAAATTGGTACATGAAATTGATGGAATGTATTAAGAAGTTTTAAAGATATGTAGAAAATTATTTAAGATTCCAAAAATGTCTTAAATATTTAAAATGAGATGCCTTGATATCTGCGTTTTACAAATTTTATTCATAAACGTCGTGTCATACGCCGACGAATCTCCAATCCTATCCACCGACACCCTTTACTGATATCCTTTTTTATTTTAATTGTTTTATTTACATTATAATTTGAGTTTCGGCTAAAATAATCTTGGTCAAAATGAAGTGGTTGGAATTTTGAAATTTAGTATCAAGATAATATAATAAACGAAGAGGTAGCACGAATTTCGACAAAAGATTTAAAAATTTGCGAATTTTATTTTTTCTAATTTTTACATTTTGGTACCAGGAAAATATAATGAGCCAAGAAGTTGCACGAATTTTCGGTTGGTTCCCTGATTTCCGCTTTTTAATATCAGGGAAATATAATGGGCAAAGAGGTAGCACGCATTCCGATGAAAAATTTGAAAATTTTCGAATTCTATTTTTCCAATTTTCGCATTTTGGTATCAGGAAAATATAATGAGGCAAGAGGTGGCATGAATTTTCGGTCGGTTCACTGATTTTCGAATTTTGGTATCAGGAGAATATAATGAGCGAAGAGGTAGCATGAATTTTCGGTCGGTTCGCTGATTTTCGAATTTTGGTATCAGGAGAATATAATGAGCGAAGAGGTAGTACGAATTTTCAGCGGAATATTTGAATATACTCAAATTTTTATTTCTTAGATTCCCGATTTTTGCATTTTCTATCAGGCGAATATAAAGAAGGAACAGGTAACAAATAAAGAGAAACTTGACAAAACTCAATCACTTTTATTTTTAATCAAATTTTAAAATACAATATAGTATAGTATACAATGTAATATGTAATATATTAATAATAAAATACATAGTTGTAATATATAATATAATACAATATAAAACATTTATTCATGAAGAATATATATATAATTAAAAAAAATATATATATATATTTTTTTTTTATAATAATATTTAATAGTAATATTAATATATATTATTTTTTATATATCAAGTTTGGCGATTTACATCATGTAAACGAAACATAGACAAATGGTATGTATATCATTTAAAAGCATAAACTTTCTCCTTTCTTTCGTACTCGCAAATTACAATCCGATTTTTTCTCAGTACAAAGTTATTAAATATCAAATTAAAAATGACATTTTGACGTTGATCGTTCATAGTAGGAAAATAGATTGGTGTACGAGGTTCGTTAAATAACGAACTGCCTTTTTAGTATCAGTCCTTTTAGTATCATAATACTATATATATATATATAATATAATGAGCCGCTATTTCTCACTTAACTCGACAATATCTTAACAATAAACATTAGTAACGTTATAAATTTAATATGTCTGGAAAGTAAAGACTACAAGCTTTAACATATTTTCAGAACTATTTTGCTATCGTTATTTTTGCCGAAGTTACAGCTTGTTGAATTTCAGCTATGTTTCATAATACGGGAAAAGTGCGACTGATCATTCGTCGAGTCATATTACTTGGGAAATATTGGGAGTACAAATTAGTTCGGTCCGTTTTCAAAAGATAGCTCTTGCTATGAATGTTTCATAGTGACAGCTGATTTCGGTGGTTTCAGATAGGTTAGACATCTGTCAATAATATTCAGTTTATATCGCTTTGAGTTTCATACAAAAATACCGGATGTATTAGCGGCCGTACAACATGATCGTGGAGAAGCAAGTGTTGTTTTATAACTTGAAAGAAAACAAACTGGTGCTATTCAGCACAAAAAAACTTTCGAACGCAACTGAACTGAAAGATAAACTGTAAAAAACTTCTACTGAAAAGAGAGTTACCTGCGGGATCGACCTTTCACTCTCAAGGCAGACAGGAAACTGTATCACGACCTTAATTTCTCGGTTAGTTTAGTGGCGGCTCGTAGCGGAGATTTTGGAACTAAAATTGAGATGACAGGCAGAAATAACGGGTTTAATAATTTCTTAGACTCCTTATTTTTTACCTTGTAATAACAGATTTAATAATCAGTGCACCACTCATTTTCCCGCAAAAATAACAGCTCTTCGAATTCGTTTTAATTTAAACCCGTTATTTATAAGGCCAATTGTAAGTTTCACACTGAAGATTTATGATTTTTTAAATATTTGAAATACATTTTAAATAAGAAACTATATCTTTTTTAATAATAGCTTAGCAAACATCGTATACCAATTCGACCGCCTGCTGCAAATGATGAAAATGTCATTTTTGCTTCAACATTGAACAACTCAATGAAAAATAATCAAGCCGCAATGCGCGGGAACGCGAATTGAAGAGAAAAAATCGCGCTTTCAAACTGTGCAGTTGTCAATTGTGCATGGTCTTTTGTTTGTGTGGCACAACTTAATGAATGTCACAAAAAAAAATGTTGGCATTTAGCAAATCTAAATTTATATTTCTGTGAGAAGCGCAAGAAATCAACTTTATTCTCGAAAATACATCTGAAAATTACAGACCTTGAGCTGGAAAGTGTTTTTGAAAGCGTCACATTATTATTAAGATATAAACAAATCGCTCAGAGGCTCTAAATTAAAATTTCGCGGGTGCTGATCGTCAAGTATTGATTGTACTCGTTCGAGATCCATAATAACGGTTGAAATTATTTTCGCTGAAGAAAAAGAGGAGACGAGGAAGCAAGAAACGTTTTAGCGTACATTTCTTATGCTAATGCGAATATTCAGCTAAACGGAACAAACTTGTTTACTTTGTGGAGAAATGTGTGCGTTCAACGTGGAAACGGAACTTGCGGAACGAGCGAGCACACGTACGTCACACATGTGCGCCGTATGTAAAATACAATACGGGGTGGCGATTCGTTTATCCGTATGCAAGCGTGTACGAAGTACTGAAGTTAGTACTCGGTATCTGGAACTTTCCATTAGTCGCTATTTATTTTCTCCTCTAGCCGAATTACTTTGATCTCTGTCTCCGACTTGAAACAGGTATGTCGTGTGTTTCTTCGAGAGATTATTCGATTACTCTTAACCTAACGCACGCTTCAGACGGTTCCGGTATTTGTTGACCCTTGACGATTCGAAAGCGATTCGGTGCCTGTCCTCGTTTTGCTATTTATTGTTTTTCTCACGCCGTGCTCGTAATTTGCGGGAACCAGCAATTTCTGACGGAGATAACCACATCTGCGTGCAAGTATAATATTTTTCTCCTACCTGTTAGCTGCTTTTGAATCTCAACCTGACAATTGCGAAACACCTGTGTGAACTTAAGACTCGACGAAAAAAAAAAAAATTCCCAGTGCGCACGTGATATGATATTATGTTTGCTGGGTATGGACTCATTATTAAAACATATATCCCTGTTACTTTTGACATTGATTGTGAATTTCATCTGATCTTTAATTTTATGAACACTGGAGTCTGTAATCATTAATCTGTGATCTTACTAACACTGTTGTGAGAGAAACAATGTATGTTTCCAATTACAGGGAAAATGTCTGAGCAATTTTTAGGCTGTACAGTTTCTGTAAAATGCATTGATGATCTTGGAACCTATCAAGGTAAAATTATTGATCTGAATAAGAATAGCCTTACATTGGCAAAAGCATTTTGCAATGGCATACCACATACTTCTTCCGTTGTTAAATTGAGGTAAGACCACAACTCCTATACAATTAACATGGTATAACATTACAAATTATAATAATAGCAAACACTATAATAGTTAATATAATAATAGTATAATAATAATAATAATAATAATAATAATAATAATAATACTATAATAATAGTAAATCTTATAGATACAAGGTCAATCTTGATAACACTTTGCTCAATCTGAGCCTATAAGTTGAATGTCACCCTCTGCATTATTATAGTGTAAAGGACATACACAATGTTGAGATTATATCAACGGAGGAAGCAGCAACAAACGACATCCAAGCTCAGAGCAAAGTGATAGTGAAGAGGCCCATCGCCAAGAGAGCTGGGAGGTCGATCTCAGAAAGTGTTACATCCACAGTACAGGCAGGAGGCTCCCAGACACAAACGAATTTCAGAAAGCCCATGGAATCCAATCAACAACAACAAATGGAGCAAACCACAAATGGGAAAATCGCACCAGGTATATATATTACACACACGTATCTCGCGTTTGTGTACGTTAACGTGAAACTTGCATTACAGCAGAACCGATTATACCAAACAACAAAATTATACCAAAAAGATTGACTCACAGACAGAGAGCATTGGAAAGGGACGAGCATACCTTTGGCACTCCGATCGATCAGTCGTTGAACCAAGACTTCGATTTTGAAAAGAACCTGGCGTTGTTCAACAAAGAGGTTCGTTCATTTAGTCGCGACATTGCTGATGCTGCCAATCAATTACATCATCACGGTGTATCGTTGTCGATTTTTGTTTCTTGCAGGCGGTATGGCAAGAAATCAATTCTCTGAAACCTGACATCGTTCGACAGTCGGAGAGCAATAGGGGCACCACCGCGATCTACCGACCTGACGAGAACATTCTCGTGTCCGAACCCACGATGCTACATCAGATCGTGGTGCCTTGCCCCAGTGAGAAAGAATACGTCACCGACAACGGTTTAGTAATTCCCAGCATCACCCTCAATCTCCATCGTCAATTGATCGGTGCGGCGGATAGATTGGGGATAAGTTGGGAACGCAGGGTTCGTATATTTCTTTCTTTCCTTCTATTTATCTAGCATTGTTTTGCCCGAGAGTGACGCGAGGCAAATCCGGGGGTCGATTGTGCATCTTCGTTGACTTTTCTCACCTCTTATTTTCGTCTCATGTCGGTGAAGGTGCGCAATTGACTATACGTAAAGTGAAAATGCGATATCCGATATAACGATATTGTTTTGTGTCATTTGAAATATAATTATTTATCGAGCAAAACCTCACGTTAGAAATATCGCATTTTCATCATGGTGAAAGCCTGATCGAAAGAGAACTCACTTTTGTAATTCTCACTATGTTTTGAGACATACAATCGACTCCTCGGTCTCGGCGCAGCACGCTTACCGTATGGGCCTCAGTAGAATGGTTGACTTGTAATTTTAGGACAACTTTTTATGTCCTAAATCTTTGTCTATATATAAATTCTCATTTTTTAATTTTTTTATCGTATAGTGGTTCGTTATTAATCACAGGCGAAACGGCTTATTAGTTTAACCCTTTGTTACACAAATTTTTCTGTTGAACATATTTAATTGTCAATGGTAGAGTCAAAAAATTGGAAATATAATTATACATTTATATTATTCATATACAGAGTGTGGCACTTAAATTGGGAAGTCTAAATATATAAAAAAATAAATAAAAAAAGGAACATAGAAAGAAATGTTCCAGACAAAGGTTGTCGAGTTTAGAGGGGAACATATTTTGGCGATCTTAATTTCGTTATATAGTTAATAATTCGAGATCGTTTCAATTTTCATAAACAGTCAAATCGATTTGTGTTAAATAAAACTATATGATTTCATTAAAGAAAAATCCGGTTTACCTTGAAATAACCTTAAATTTAATAACTATATTGACTATAATATAACGAAGTTAAAGTCACCAAAATTATATTCCCTCCCGAACAACTCTGGAACATTTCTTTCTAATTTGCTTTACTCTTTACATATTTAGGGTTTTTCAATTATGTTACACAAACCAGTTATGAAATACGTAAAAACACAGAAGGACTGCGAAGAAATTGGTATCCATATATGGAACACTATGCAACAAAGGGTTGAGACTCCAGACAAACAGTGACAGTCACTACACGTTACTTAAGACAATCTTGTCTCTGAAATTGTCTTGAATCAACAAGTCGGCCATTCCGCCAAGGCTCTACGTCCTAATTCGGAACACGACTTCAAACTTCGTTGCAACACAAGTAAACCGTCGCCGCAACGGTTGCTTCCTACGCCTCTACTCTAACTCCCTCGGATCCGCTTTTCAAGGTGGAACTTCTCGGGCGGGCTGGTGCCGAGCTCATTCTGCAGCTATTGGGCGGGAGTCATCGGCTGAATCCGAACAACGCGCATCAGTGGCCCACCGTGGTAGCGTTGTGCGGACCGCACCGTTCCGGCGCCGCCGGCATCAACTGCGCCCGGCAGTTGTCCAGCCACGGTGTCAAGACGATCGTGTTCGTGGAGAACTCGGAGGACGTGTTCCTGCTGCAGGAGCTCTCTCTGTACAGGTTAACGGAGAACAAGGTCGAGACAAAGGTGAAGAACCTGCCGGCCCTGGTCGATCTCATCGTCGTTGCCCTTTGCGATGAGGACTCATCGCGGATGATCACCCCGATCGCGAGATGGGCTAACAGCAACAGAGCGCCGGTCCTCGCCATCGAGCCCCCGGCGACGGGTACACCCGGCATCATCAGTAAATTCAGTTTACTGGGGGCCCTACCGTTGTCCCACAGCGCCGACAACGGTAGACTGTATCTATGCAACTTGGCGTTGCCGAACAAGGTGTACTCCGACGTCGGGATCACGTACAAATCGCCGTTCGGTCCCAAATTCGTCATTCCGTTACATTCCAATGATTCTTAGCAGATTCTCGGCGGCCACGTCGTGTCTTTTTAGATAGACGCCTCATTTTATCCGAACCGCGCGCGCGCTTCTCGCATGGCCGTGGAAGGGTTGTTTACTCGCCCCGTGTCGGGCTCTCGTTCGAGTGGCGCGCTGTAGGGCACTTGGTACACGGTCGGGCGTTTCGTATGGATTTCTACGGCGGATTCTCGCGGTGGCTTCAGCATCCGCCCCACATATACACATATACATTCTCGTTCGTCATGTGGTGTCCGCGATCGGATGCGGTAACGATGCATTATCGGTCGACGAGTTATTAGAGGATTCTCTTGTATTTTTAAATCCGCATCATCAGGTTTGTTCCTCTTCACTGAACTAGTGCTCACTTGTAGAATTTAGGAAGAGACAGATGTTGAGGAGGTATATTCGCCGGTTTAAAACGTCGTTTTGTTGGTGATCTTGAGATTTTTTTTTTTTTTTTTTTTTTTTNAAGTCTTGTATGAGTATTTGTCTATGTTTCATCTGTCTATAGTAATTTCTGCATATTGTTATCTTTAATGTTAATGAAGTTATAAATAATTTTGCGCAGCGCTGAACGCAAGTTTTGCTCGCATGGTTGACACGACTCCAGACGTTTTAGGTTTTTCTGAAAGCAAAATGGCGAAAAAGTTATTAAATTATAAACTAGCTATCGTCCATATCACGATAGAGAATAAAAAGTCATTTTTGACAATAATCGACTTTTGGCCAGTTTTTCTTCAGCTGTAGGAGTCCTTAAAGAATCGAAATATTAAAGATACCGACTTCATCATGGTTGGGACGATAGTCACAAGTTTGCAGCCTAATAATTTTTTGTCGTTTTGGTTTCAAAGACCTATAACGTCCGGAATCGTGTCAATCAATATTTTGCGTTGAGCGCTGGCAAAATTATTTATAACTTCATTCATATTGAATATAATAACTTGTAGAAATTACTGTATATAGTTAAAGCATAAATAAGTATTTATGCAAAATTTCAGAATTTTATGTCTTATAATTTCTTCAAGATAAATTCCTAACAATCATTTACCAAACGAAACGTTCCAAATGACAATATTTCCTTAAGATTTCGTGGAAATAAAAGAAGAGAACTAGTGCGAACTAATGTAGCCAATTCGGCGAAGAAGAACGGACCTGTTACGGGACACGCATCTGCGTGCGTGCTGAAGAGAAAAAAAGGAGATGTAAATATCGGGTCCGCGAAAGGGTGAGAGCTTGCGTTCGGTTTATCAATGTCAAGCGTACGCGGCAGAATCTAAATTATATGCGTAGATAGAGCGAGACGCAGCGAATATATATGTATAAATTACTCACGGTCATAGTTCCATGTATTACGGCACGATTTCGCAACGGTAACACACACATACAGACAGACACAATCCGATAAAGATTAAAGAGAAAAATAGGGGTTCCGCCACTTCGTACTATATGCCCGTAGTTTCTGTTACTCAAACGCACATGTGCAGGGACGGAAAACGCGACGCGAGTGGGGACTTCGTGATCGCATTTCGCGGAGTCTGCAATGTGCGGTCCCTTGCGTTCGACGTATCTATGTAACGAACATTGTAAGCATGTAGAGCCCACCGTTAAGATAGCTAATTGCGTGGCGCAGAGAACTCACTGCTCGCAAGAGCCATGTAGGAAAGCGGAGAGCATTAGATGATGGCTTCTGCAAGGGGAAATCTATACATATATTTTTAATAATTTGTAACGTACTCTACTTGTGTGATTGTTGGAAGATCATGGAACGGGCGATCGATTAACGAGACAGTTTTACACTTTGCGCGTCCGCACACTCGGTATTCCCCCCGGGTAATTCCGCGTTGTCGTGCATGCGTAGTACCGAGAGCGTTGTTGTTACGATTTCTTTTTTATCACTGCTGTTTCGGTATTCGCGCGATTACGTTCGAATCCGCATTGTTCCTGATTGTCCCTTCGGCGTCAAGTACCTACTTAAAAATAAAAAAATTTGTGTTCCTTTTGTACTGATTTTTTTTAAATCATAGCTTATAATAAAGTATGGAATGTGCTTCTCTCACGCGATCGTCAATTTTCATGTGTGTGATTTAAGTATAATTAGAAATATATATGTAATTGTAGAGATATATTTACGAGATAATTTTTGCATAATAGTTTCTCGCGCAGCTGACGTTGAGAGATCCGACGATCGAATAATTCGTGTCCACGAAACGCATTGCAGCATTTTAAACGGTTTATTCGGAAGTATACATATGTTATATATATATATATATATACATATATATATATATATGATATATTTTAGTATATAATTATTATAGTAATTTATTAACAATATATTTCATGATCGAGTCGTTGAAACCGATATATTGTCAACTCACTAATTATATAATCATTACTATAAATAATTAGTGTCTGTATTTGAGAAAAGTGGATCATAATTCTGCAATTCAGAATTCAGAAACCATGTTAAATTTTATAATCTATATCGATTCAATGTGCAAGGGGGAAGGAAAATAAAATGCATACGTCATTTCCACGAAATCTACGTCTTTTTCAATTCCGCGCACGAATTTAGAGATGGAAGAAGGTACTCGTGCGACATTTGCGTGTTAAATAAAACCTCAAACGATACGACGAAGATCCTAATCTACGTCGTTAAGGCTCCGGAATAGTTGATTGTGTCCTTCTTTAATTAATGACGTCAGAAGCGAGGAAACGCATGCCAAGATTTTTTGCGTTATACTTTCAAATAAAAAGATGTACCCGCAAAATGACATTTGTAATCGATTCGGTAAATTTGTAAAATTGAACGAACACTTTTCTTTTACTCGAACAATCAATAAATAATCGTAAAATTAACTTTGTGACTATTTATTAATTGTTCGAGTAAAAGAAAAGTGTTCGTCCAATTTTACAAGTGTGCCGAATCGATCACAAATGTCATTTTGTGAATATATCTTTTTATTTGAAAGTATAACGCAGAAAGTCTTAGTATGCTGGTTTCCTCGCTTCTGACGTCATTAAACAAGGACAGTCACATAGTGACTATTTCGGGAGCCTTAAGATTCTACCGATGTTGATTGTTAAATCTAGGCACAATAGACTCGGGTCTGGATGTCGCGGCCAATCCTCATGAAGAAGATCGCTTCATTTCCTCGTTCTTACACTTCTAATATTATCATTTCAATTACATCTAATAGCTGTAGAATTGTTGAGCTACTTTGTATCAATGACACGTCGAGAGAATAAACTATAAAGCGCGAAGAAAGATTATCTCTAAAGTTATTTTCACCGAGAAAATAATTTCTTAGCCTGAAGAGGAACCAACGAAAGAACAATCACGAGAGAGATGGATACAAAATGTTTTCTTTAATCTTTTAATTGTCAACATTTTAGTTTATATTTAGTGTATGTGAAATTTACAGCTGTCGTGTGTGTTAAAAATACGCGACTCTGACGTCACTGTGTGATAATACCGAGAACCACAACCGGATGCGAGTATAACGGTAAGTAAGAGGTGAAAGTTACGGGGGTTTACATTTATTGTCAATCCTTTTTTTTTTTTAAATGCAGATCGAACCGGCACACCTTAGATTTACAAAAATACCTCGCTACTGCGGTTTGAATAACCGTTTATGCAATTGTTTAACTTGAAATTGACTTAGCGTGTACGGCCACACCATCATCTTCGTTATTCTCGTAGACACAATAATCGAATCCACCGATCGATGTAGGGGACACGGGAACTGTGTATGCTCTCTCTCTCTCTCTCTCTCCCTCCCTCTCTGTATACGATTAAAAACTATACTATCTGTACGATACATTCTACGATCTGGAATTGGAATAACTCTCCATATATATAAATTTTGTACGGATACAACTCTCTCACGTGTATAGGCTGTGATTATTTTAGACATGTCTGAAAAATGACTGCTCTCTCTCTCTCTCTCTCTCTCTCTCTCTCTCTCTCTCTAAAATATGAACTACTCTCTACAGTGATACTGTATCTCTTTACTGACACTTTTCGAATACTCGAGAACTCGCATTCGCGGTAACACGATCCTTCTCTTGGACCGAAGTTACAGGCACGTCGAAAACTTTTCCTTTTTCATCCTTCATTTTCCCCGATAGTAATTCATAGCCGAAAACCGATCGACCGACATTTCATTTGATTCTCTTGCGTGAATCTCCAACGGTTCTCCTTTCTCTACACAATCGTAAATATTTATACAATATCTATCGCGAACAAATTTAACGCGCGTTCCCTGCCGCGCAATTCACCCGCGCGTTGTGACAGATCGCGTAAAACTGGCCCGACACGGAACGCGCGTTAGTAGAAATAATATATACAATTTTTATATCACTATCTAACGATATAGTACTGGAACACACTGATCTACACTTATTCCGTAGTACTTTGTCGTTTTCGGATAAACACAGAATTTGTAATGTTTGCAACGTAATAAATGATCAGATTTTAACCGTTTGCGCTCAGGCTTCGAGTGTCCTCGCCGTTTTGTTCCAATATGTTAACTCAGTTCACAACATTGTGCCAAATTAAAGTAAATGTGCGGATTATGTAGCACATTACTACTGTTAAATGGATTTTTTCTTTTCAGTTTGATAATGCGAGATGTGTAACGAATATATTGTGAATCCGAGTGAAAGGTCAAACCGTCAATGTCGCGCACAAAGCGGAGCGCAAAAGGTCAGTACATTTGAATTCAGCTTCAACGTCGTGTCTAAAAGATAATATACATCTCGCAATCCTTCGAGCGAATTACCTCGCTGTGATTATTTGTCAATCCTAAACGGAGACCGATGCCTGTTTCTACCATCGTGGTTTAAATCTAATCGACGATTAACTCAACGGAATTAGCCAAACGAAATTGGCTGAGTTGGTCAATCCCGTTGAATTAATCAATCGTTGATTAGATTTAAACTATAATGGTGGAAACGGGCATAAATGTATGTAAATATAACTAAGTGTGTTGAAAATATCAAGCATATATATGTATGTATAGTTATTGGAATAGAAATTATTCAATAATTTCGAAATTGGTTGCGCTATTAGCCCGACCGAGCGAGAAGCTCGAAGTCCCTGCTAAACCGACGCGGATAACAATAACCGTGGAAATTCATAGTTACACTCGACACGAGCTGGACGGGCACAAATGACGATATTACAGTGAGATGTCGTCCCTCGCGCATGATATTTTACGATACATCGCGCGCCCGATTAGCTGACGGCAGCGAGATTAAATTCTCTAGCGTGATATCGAAGTGTGTGAGCAACTATCACTACAGCTAATCTTAATGCATAGCGTACGGGTAAATATAGCCATCACGTTATTTTGTATTTTGCGTTACGTTGTGAAAGGCGACCGTTTCTCATCGCCGACGTATACGTCAGGGTATCGATCACGTAACTTTCCCAGTTCGGAACGGAAACGTGAAAAGTTTCACGCGAACTTGTGAAGCGTAAAATTTCTCACGTCAACTTTTCTTCACCTTCAAACTTACTGGCGGGAAGGTGGAAACCTAGTGACATGACTGATCCAGAGTGTAACGTCACTATTACGCTGAGATGCAAGAAACGTTACTTTTCTAAAATTATGTTGTTATTTTTAAGACCAGGCGTTGGTTAGATATTTTAATAATAGATTCACTTCTCCGACATTATACCATTAATCACGTTGAGTGATTTTTACTTTCTACACGTCAAAAGAATTACATGATCGCGCGAATAGTGAAGAAGTTCACGCAAAATCGGTAATACGGAAAGTGAAATCTTTCACGTGAAATAACATGATCGATACCCAGAGTACAGGTATGTATTACTTGTGCACAGAGACACACTCAGAAAACATAGCACCTAGTTATACATGCACTTTTTCAAGTGCAAGTTGTAAGTTTAACACGTTCGCTACCACGCGTCAAACATCAACTAATAACGCGTCAAACGATAAAAATCAATTAATAAAACATAACATCAATGTTATAATTTCCCACTCAACAATATAAATGCAACATAACACGCCTATTATGTAACAATTGCATTGTTGAGTGGGAAATTATAACATCGACGTTATGTTATTGTTGATTGATGTTTGCTGGGACAGTTTTTCACGAGAGACCGACGTACGTCGTGTATGTGTGGGAATTGAATTATTATATAATAATAATAATTAACAAAAATAAAAATTATAGTATAATTTTTCATTCTACGATTTTCATCCATACGTGAACGAATCGAGTCTGTTTTACACTATTGTATAAATAGAAACGAATGTAGTCTGTGTAGTGAACGATTTCCCAGATGAAACGTAGTGGCGAACGTGTAAAAATTTGTCAGAAGACATAGTATAATCGGCGTTATGCATGCTGTACAGTCGACATAATAAAGGTCGTGATACTTCTTTTTCGATGAGTTCCGTAACGGTTTCAGTGTCCAATAGGACCAATTCGTTTCTTAGTAATTCTCAAGAAATATATTTTCCTATTGGATATGAAATGCGTTGTGAAACTTATCGAAGAAAAAATGTTGCAACTTTTATCAGCGCCGACTAGATTCCATTGCCTAGATTGAAATGTTTTACTATTACTAGAGATGTAAAATCAAATTTTAAATAATAATTATTTCTGCGATCTTCAATATGTTATGTGTAAGGCTGAAAATTATGTAACTTTCCGTCATATAACTCTCATATAACTCTCCGTTTAGGGAATGCTACAGCATACACGATGCCGTCCATACAAGTAGTACCATTTGCCGATTAGCCATTGGCCGACTTCCTCGTCAGCGTCTCTCGAGGCCATTGTATCGGAATAAATGTAATTGCTAGATCTATAATCCTGACGGGAATTAAGCTGACGATAAGCGAGCAATATACATTTCCTTAGTACCCGATGACAGTGTAATTCGTCCTTCATCCGCGTGCACGAATTAGTCACTTGCGGTTGGCGCATTAAAAAAAAAAAAACGTACGGAAGTAATACACACTTCCCGCGTATTCGTAAACGAGCCTTATCTAGCTGGTGGGGACGGTGTTGTTCGATAATTAAGAAGGCCTCGTTCACTCGCGTTCGTTAGGGCGATATTGTCGTCGTTGCGTATTACATCGTCGCTGTTAACGAAACCCATCGCGCGTTCTGCACGGAAAAACAATCTCGGTTCCTGCAACTGAACAGGGACCGGATGAAAACTCGACGGCAAGAAACAATATCTCTGTTACCGCGACTGGGCACGTTCGCTTAAACGTTCGGTCGCATTGAAACTCGGTCGAGACGACTGAGCAGAAACCTCGGTCGAGAGCAATTGACTGAACAGAAACCTCCGACCGGAACGTTTGAGGGAATGTCGGAGTGACAGAATTCACCAGAATTTTTGGATACACTGTTCTCGCTTCTGACTACGTAAAACCATAAATACTTTCGCATGATGATAATACATACATTAATACAGCTCGCTCGATTTTGTTACCGAAAACAAAAAAAGTCCAAAAACTGTATTTCTTCTTGTTAGTCCTTATTTTAATATAACGTCTAGAGCTGTCGACGAAAGATAATATTTGCTATTGACGTCAAGATAACGTCGTAACGTAATGTTATCAACGACCTTATTACCGATATTCCTACCGGAGTTTGACAGCCACTCCGACATCCCCTTGTTGATTTGGCTTCAGACTTGGTACCGCGTCCTTCAATGGATTTGTTCCCTTCACAGACTGTTGGCACTAACTCAGAAGCCTAATCAAGCATTCCTCCGCATCGTGAAAGCCTAAAATATCTTACTAAATACTTCCTACGGGAATCTTTCTATTCCTATAACCAAGTTTTCGTCTGGTCTCAGGCGACGGGGAGAATTCAATTGCACCAATCGGATTGCTTTTTCCGTGTGTGACACACCGAACGTTAATAAGCGCGACACGGTGCGCGCTTCTCTCAAGCGTCGCGCGCGGCCTAAGCTAAGCACCCTTCGACACTATTCTACTCCGGAATCTCTTGCGCTTGGTGAGATGTAGCAGTCAGAAAACGATCCTCGTGGTGACCACGCTGTATCGGACACATCTACGTAAGAAGACAGTCCAGTTCCGTCTGGTTCCGAAGCCGGCGGCGGCGTCCCCCTAGGAAGCGGCCGTCGGACTAGCGGCCGGCGGCACCGCGTTCGCCTCTTTCGCGCGCCTCCGCTTGTTCAGCAGCGGATTGTTCGTGTGATCGAGCTGCTTCAATCGCGCCGTGTCGTAGTCCACGCGCATCGTCGCCAGCGATCGCGTCATCTCCTCCTGCACCTCGGGCCAGGACTCCTCGCCCTCACGCAGAACGCGTCCAGTGTGTAAGGGGGTGGCGGGCACCTCCGTGTATCTCTATGAGCAAAAGGGGAGACGTGACTCCGAGAAGTTCGCGAAGAAGTGAGCCAACGCACTCGCTACAGCGCTTAAATTGAAAGCCGATCATTGTAAAGCGCACGCTCGCTCTATGAGGCAATCCTGGTATATACGCCGCACTTAAAGAAAATTTTACTTATCAAGTATTATTTATTATGTTTAAGGCGAATGAACTATACAAACGAAAGCTGTATATTGTCTACTACCATAAAAAAGAAATTAGAAATACGAAATAGTTAATACGTTAATATGCGTGACGGCGGTGTCAATAAATTGGCGTAATGGTTAAATGCTCTTACGGCGATCCACTTGTTGCGCATGACATCGTCGATCTGCAACCTCTGCGCTGGGTCTATGCAGAGCATGCCCTCGATAAGATTCCGCGCCTCCATGCTCACGTTCGACCATTCCGGCGAGGGGAAGTCGTACTGCCCTTGCCGTATCTTCTTCTTCATCCCGGGCGACATCGCGTGCCCGTGCATACTGTAGAACGGTGGGAAGCCGCATAATCTGAAATAATCGTAAGTACTTTTATACGCACGCACTTCCGGACGCGCGCGACTTTAATTAAAATTCACTAATGAGATGACGCAACGTGAAAATAAACGTCTACTGAAGCGTAATATACTCACAGTATGTACATGATTACTCCCAGTGACCAAATATCACAGCTCTTGTCGTACTTTTCTGTTCCCAGAACTTCCGGGGCTGAAGAGAAAATTATACGCATGTTAAAAAAAAGAGACCGACGCAAAAGACAAATTTTCACGGTCCTTTAGAAGCAAAGCACGGATTTTATAATGACACTAGAATACCAATATCGTCAATATTAATATTATTTGTGGGATGATAAAATTGTTCAACGTGTAACGCACGTACTGAATATTTTCAGCCATATATCATCATATGCGATGAATCTTCCAAGCTTTAACCGATCTTTGAATCTTAGTAAAGCTATTCTAAATTCAATTTCCCTGAAAAATTCCTTTACTTAATCGCTAAATTAATTAGAGACGATTTTCTATTCCACTTATTATTATGTTGCAAAATATATTGCCTCGGCCAGAAGGAATACTCAGTACACGCTGAATAATTTTATCCTCCCGCAAATAATATTAATATTCTAATGGCACCAAGATATTCATGATTTGCTTTTATTTAAAGTTAAAATACTTCGTTTGGTTGGACCAAGAAGGAGCAGTCTTTCTTAATGGACCGATGCAATTTTTACTTCAAGCACTCGAGTGTATACCGGAAGTGTGCGAGCTTACCGACGTAGTAGGGTGTGTAGCACGGCGTCTGCAGTGTGTTATCCTTCGAAAACGTTTCCTTCGCGAAGCCGAAGTCGGTGAGTTTCAGAATTCCCGTGCTATCTGCGAAGAAAGTGCGCAATGCGTTAACAGATTTGATCCTCTCGTGGAATCCCATGAGGATGGAATACTCTATCTTACTCTATTCAATTGTGGAGCGTAAGGTATCGCAAAGATAACGGCCCCGGAGTATATAATTTATACGTAAAACAGCATAGTCTCTATCGATATCAATCTCTGCAGTATATACACAGAGATAAATATTATCGTGGTCTCCGCACTTCAAGGTTCACAGATAACAAGTGTGAGTTTTCGCGGTGTTGCGAACTGATAACAATGTTTCCAAGCTGCATCGGCAGACGCATGAGACGATATTGCAAAAGCTTGTGTAACTCACCGGGTCTCGAATATAAAAGATTCTCGGGCTTCAGGTCCCTGTGAGCAATGTTCATGTCGTGTATGTACTTCACCGCCGCACAAATCTCGTACATCACTTCTGCGGCTTCTGCAAGGAACACACCGTTTCATTGGATGAATTGTGTTATTTCGGCAAAACGGCGAGATCTTATGAGTTTCGAGAGCACAACCGCACCTCTTTCGGTGAAAGCACCGTCTTGTCTGTCTTGTATCCTCTGGAACAGCTCGCCGCCTTCCATGCTGAAAGATCGATCGAACGTGAATTTAAGGGATCACACTTCGTTACAGCAGTAGTAACATTGAAATGCCCGGTATCGTTGCGCTTTATGTACCATTCCATGACTACCAGCAGACACTTGCAGCCTCCGTAGGTGTTCTCGTACACATCTTTCACTTGGACTATGTGCTTGCAATCTGACGCCTTCCAGTGAAGCTCGACTTCTCTCCGCGCCTTAACGGAATCACGTAGGACCTGCAACATGAAAACGTCGATTAAAAATTTCTCATTAAGTCACGAAAACAAATATGCGTACGCCTTCTAGGAAAATTTAATTTGACAAAATTCCTTATTAACCTACGAAAATAAATGTGCGTACATCTGTTTAAAAAAAGTATGATTTAACATTAAAAATTTAATTCGGCTAAAATCGAACTCGATAAAAATTCCTCGTTAAATTGCAAAAACAAATGCGTACGTCTCTTAAAAGAATATAACAAAAGCTGAACTCGGTGAAACATTTCTTCATTAAGCTAAGAAAATGAATTTGCGAGCGTCTTTAAAAAGATATTTCTTTTGGAATTTAACAGCTAAGTGCAATGTGATAATCTAGCGAAAGATTAATTTTACTGTGTCGCTAAAAGCGAAATAACATTTTCAATTTCCAGAACACACGTTATTAATATTTTCGGGACGTCTCGCGAAGATTCCAGTTGATGATGCGACGGAATCGCCCGGCGGATCATTTAGTTCGGTACACGCGGGATCGCCTCGTTCGACGTTTCGCGCCGCGCAGTATATCGTGCATATCATCGCAGTTCGCAGGTAAGACTTGACTCATACACCTCGAAACTATGTGAGACGGGCGACGTCATCGGCTCGGGGGATTCCTAGATAAAATATCTCCTTTATTATATCCTCCCGCTGTGCCGTCGAATCGTAACAAACAGAGAGCATGTGCAAGCAGTACACCGACTTACGTAAGCAATGCGATAGTTGATAAAAAAAAACTCGACGATTACGTAACTCGATAAACACGCGATTAACGGTATCGCGAAGTAGATTGCGAACGGAGAGACGCAAAAAAGAGCGCCGAAAAGAGAGAGAGAGAGAGAGCTCCCTCCCGGTAGTGTACCGACGATGAAGGCGCTGCTGAAAGGTCTCGTTACTCAATCCGCATTCCGGAAGCATCCGAAAGCCGCTTTCATCCTCACTCAGTTATCGGCTTTGGCCGAGCCGCGACCGCTCTCGGGAATCGATCGGGGCAAAAACTGCCATCGGGAATCGCGAGGATTAAGCGCTCGGTTTCGGCGCTTCCTGCTCGCTCGAGCGCGCCGGAAGATCACCGGCGAGAACGCATAGACTTTTATTTTCTGCCGGGGAGGTGAACGACACACGCGCGCGCGCGTCGCAGACAGTACAATGCTGATTGGTCAATTATACGACGAAGAATCTGTCTCCGGTTGGTTGCCATTCAAAATTTCTCAGCGATCGTGTGACGTAGCGTGATACGTGCGCGCGTAAGCCGCCTTCTCTTCTGGACACGCTAGCGTAATTGCGCCCTTTTCAGGCGCGATCCTCGCGCGGACAATTGCACAGATTACGCAGATGTCCATTGTAAAGCGACAGTGGGAACCCGAAATAGCCGGTGCTTACGTTACCGCGATCGTCCGCCGGAGAGACTGTGTGTCTCCCAAGCGAGCGACAAAGCTGATTCATTAGCATTATATTGCGATTTCGCAAATCTGACGTTTATAATACACGCTCGATTTACGCGCGTTGTTGCCGGATACGGCGAACATTCTCTCATGCGGTCCGTGCTAATTACGCCGACGTGTAAACACGCTGTTTTGTCGCAATCTCTCGCTTTCCGCTTGCGCGACTACGCAGCTTCCTGCTACTTGGAGTCGAAGCGTTCACGGCGATTATAAGATAGATCGAGAGAGAGAGAGAGAGAGAGATTAGAATGAGCTTAACCTATTTGCATCATTAGATTTGAAAAGCATGCCCACATGTCACTCCATTTTTTTTCTTTAGATCGACATCAAATGTAATAAAACTGATCGAAAATACATGGTTTCTGACGACGGTCTGATCCATTTTTAATAAGAAATCTTGATTTGAAAAATATATAAATATATAAAAAATATATTTAAAAATATTAAAAAATATATAAATATATATATATAAAATATATAAAATATATATAAAACAGATAAAAAGATCCTAACAAGTTTATTATCTTTTAATACTATATCATGAAAATATTCTTTGTTCAAGATAACCATTACTTAAAAGTAATAAATAGATAGATAATAGCAAGCCCTCTAAGGACGTATTTACACACAGAGAAAAAAGTTTTCTTTGAATTTAGCGTTTGTTTGTTGGGGTTTGTTTAATATAAACATAGTTTAATATCAAATCATTTAATATAATTTTGTATGATTGAAAATGTTGTTTGATAGAAAAAACGGTATTATTTAAAGGAAAATTAATATTTGGTTTTCAGTGGAAAAATGTTTTTTCATTATATATTAAATATTGTTCCACTGGAGCAAAAATAAGTTTTTCAATAAGTTTCTAACATAATATTTGAATGATGAATCGAAAAGCCAGGTGCGCAATGCGCAAAGTTAAAACGGAAACGATGACGTACGCGCTGAATGTTGAGACTCGGTTCTCGAAAGAGTACGGTATTTCTGATTTCAAGTTGATACATTTACCGTGACGTAAGAGAGGATTAAAGCGAAATTAGCGGCAAGCGAATGGAAGAGAGTCTTGCGGGCGCGCGCGCATCTCCCGTAATTCTTGCTCCGTGGGATGATCTAAAAGTATTCGAAGCGGAGAATGTCGGGATACCTGCGAGATAGCGAAAAGAAATCCGAAACCGGTTCCCCAGGATCTGTACCTAATCCGGATCAAAAGGCTATCGACTCTGACTCTCGTCCGGAGCGGAAAAACCTCGGGCACACGTTGACTCATTGGCGTTTATTCGTTCATGAGCCGAAAAGTATGATATTAATTAAAAAACAAACAAGTACAAAAATATTCCCATCATCATTTGTCCCTAAAAATAGACAGCTTTGCAAAGTTCCAAGTCGAAATTTTGATGCTACTGGACTGGCATTTATTAACTTCTCTCTTACAACTTCAACCTGAGTTGAAATTTTAGCTCTATTAAATCTTTGATTCTAAAACACACTAGAAGCTAAGATAGATTCAATTTTAATCCTAATAATATATTTTATTCCTACTATATGACTCTGATAGTGTCTTAAACTGTTTTCGTTATTTTAATGTCACAAAATAGATTGTTAAAGGTAACATTAAAATTCTATTTGTAGAATTAAAGGAAGTTGATAAGTGTCAGTATCGTAAAAATAGATTTTTATTTGTCTATAGGCCGTCTAAGTAAGTACAACAAACTATCCTTAAAAGCGTCAGAACAGCATCAAAATTTCGATTCGGGAATTCTACTGATAAATTAATTTTATTGCTATTTTGAACAACAATATTTTGATATTAAAGTAACGAAGACGGAGATTTAAAACATCATCAGGCACAAAATAGATGTAAATTATATTATTAGAATTAAAAATGTACCTATTTTGTCACCTTTTAGCTGCTATCGTGTTAAAAAATTAAAGGTCCGACAAAGAGCCAAAGTTCACGTCGAAAATCATCGAGGCGATGGGAATCATGGAAAGTTACTCCGAGTCGAACGAGCCGCCTTCTTCGAGTTAATAACAGCCTTTGCGACTTATAACGAACGAGTAGCTTCAATGAGTAAATGAATTTTCCACGATCCAGTGAACGGCGGCTATTCGCAAGCCAAGCTTCTTCCGCCAATATTTCAATACGACTTACGTGGGCGTGCGTGTTTCCCGGTGAAAATACCAAACCGATCACGCGTTCGCGAGGCGTGTGCGAGTACCAGGAGGACAGATGTGTGGAGCCTATGATAATGAGATTAGCAGCTCTCGACTTGCGTGACACGGCCGTGTCTCGTCCGCACGCGCGCGAGATAGACGGATGGGACCGGAGCGCGCGCCCGGAATTGTCGCTCCGATAGTTCCTGGCGACAGATCAGATTATGCTCTTTTCGCCGGCGACGAGAGAATTTCACGCGCTCGGCTATAAAAGCCCGGCCAACGTAATCTGATGCAACGCGCGCGAGTCACGCCCCGCCGTGGAAAAACGAGCATGTCGCGATCGATCGTCCTCCTCGTTTTGTCGAACTGTGTACCGCGCGTCCCCGCGGCGGAATTGATTGGACGGCGACGTACACAGAGAAAAATATCAAATTCTATCGCTGAGAAAAACAATCACTCAGCTTATTCCATCCTTCTTTTGAGTAAGACTTATCTTCAACAAAGAATATTTTATTGACAATAGTCTTCAAATCTATAGAGAACATTATTACTTGTGCCGCGAAGAAAAAGCAATTGCTCAGTTTATTTCTGTTCTTTTAAATATCGGTTGTCCTGAATAAATATTTTCTTGATATAGCATTAAAATGTACTAAATTTATTCAGGATTCAGAATATATTTTGAAGACAATTGATGTGCTCATGTAATGAACTTATGATATACTTATGGATGTGTACTTGTTTCACGTATTCCATAAGTTTATATATCCGCAAATATATCACAAGTTCATCATAAGCATCAAATTTTTATTTAAAATATATTCTCAATCCTGATAAGTTTAGTACTTCAATTAAGAATATTATATTAAAATATTAAATTTAAAACTTCGGTTTACTTATTCGAATTAAACGAATTTAACTTTTCTCCAAAAAAGTTTATAATATTCTTGAAAATAAATATATTCTTCTTTTAAATAAATGATAATGAACTTTTTTAATATTTGTGATGTGAGTATATTTTAATGTTATTATCAAGAAAAAATATTCTTCGTTCAAGATTACCATTATTTAGAGAAGAAAAATGAAAAAGAAAAAAAACAAGTAATTGCTTTTCTTCGCAGTACAAATAATATTAGAGTGTGCGTATTCATCACAATTTTAGAATAATCTATTATCACATGTTCCAAAGAAGAATTTATTCTTTTTTCAAAAACATGATAAACTTGATTGAAAAAAATTAAATTCGACCAATTTGAATGAGCAAAGTTCATTTCAATTCAACATTCTTGATCGGATATATAAACTTACGAAATACTTGAAATAAGTAACATTTACTTGAATGCAGTATATATTTTTCTGTGTGTAGAAACGCGTCGTGTTCGCCAC